CCAGGGGACAACTGAGTGCGATGTCCTTCCAGCACTTGAAGTACTCGGTATAATGACCCTGAGAGTTACACAGGGTTACACTTATTTTCCTGGACTTAATCAGGAGCTCCAACCCAGGAAACAGTTTGTGGTTTCAGGGTGAAGCATTAGCTTCTTCAAACCAGATCTGAGCATTGGGAAAAAACTCTTAGTAGCAAACCAGCTTGGTGCTAATTAGGATTACAATCCAGAAAAAGATTCAAGCAGTCTTAAAAATGTACTCTGAGGTTTTGCAAATGGCAGCTACATTTATAGTTTTAAGCCACAGAGTTTTGGAAATTATATAACTTGTTAATCAAGAATCGGGACTGGTTTTGTAAGGAAGTATTGGGCACAGTCTCAGTCTGAGTAGTTGTGGGGAAGATCCGAGGAGGTTAACAATATTTCAAAACTCAGTTCACACCAGGGCAGGCATGTCTGCAGCCTAGTTAAAAGTTCCCTTAGACATGATTTAGGCCTGCTGAACAAGGAGCCCTTGGGATAGAAATGTAACTCAGTGGTAGAGCTGCCTAAAATGCAGGAGGCTGTAGGTTTTATCCCCAGCATCCCTTGCCAAACAACAACAAATACAGGCCTCCCTATCCTACACCATCTTAAGTGCCCCAAGCCAATGCTACTTCCATTTTCGTTTTTTTTCTCTTGATAATGTAACATAGAAATCCTGCTGATTTGAACTTCAATTGTATCTAGAACCTGTTTGCTCTGGCCACTTTATTTACATCCAAAACAGTGTCATCATCTCACCTAAATTCCTACAGAAACCTTTCTAACCCACCCACCCAGCCAGCCCAGGCAGATCTATATTAAACAGGTTAGATCATACCCCACCCTGTTCAAAACCTTAACTCCTCATACTGGCTAGTGAGGCTCTAGGTGATATGGACATGGTTCCCCTTAGCCAGCTCTACTTCACTTTCTCTCTCTGAGTCTCCCCACTCTAAAACTCAGGTTCAGCCTTTATTCAGCTATTCCTTCTGTCTGGAACATGTATATCCTGGGCCAGACACTAAACTCCTAAGGTCTGGACCATGCTCTCTCCTTCCCCATATGTGTGCATCCCCTCATATCTGATATCCCACAGACTCTCAATAGATAAATGCAGGACTCTTGTGTGATGGAGTGATTGAGTGGAGAATTTGGCCCAGTGTGTTTAAGGAATCTTTAGAACAAAAGATTAATTCCCACGCTACGCATGGTAGCACACCCCTATAGACCAGCACTCTGAAGGCTGATGCAGAAGGAGTATGAAGTTTCTCAGCCAGCCTAGGCTACATAATGAGAACCTATCTCAAAAAAAAGAAAGAAAGAAAAAAAGAAAAAAAATTAGGGATTATTTCCCAAGCCTCCGAATTCCTGAGACAGGAAACTTTATCGAAACCAGTTCCTGCAGTGGTCTCCTCACACCTCACTTCTGTTCCAACTTCAGGGCCAATAATAAAGAAGTCATATGGGGGCTGGGTGTACCTTTGTGGTAGAAGGTACATTTAACATGTACAAGGTCCTGGGTTCAACCCCAGTACCACCCTCTCCAAAAGAGCAGTCTGGCTTTAAACATTATTATTATTACTTTGGTTTGGGGTTTTTTTTGAAACAGATCTCCCTGTGTCACCCAGGCTGAGCACAAGCTCACCACTCTCCTGCCTCAGACTCCTGTGCTGGGATTGTAGCCATGCCCCCCCATGCCCAATTGCCCCTAAACTTTCTTAATTTCATGGACAGAGGCTTTGAATCCTTTGTACTTCCCTTGACCTAAACTCTGGCTGTTTCAGATTAGTACGTTCTGTGGTGATTGTTTCACAATGTGTACATCACTTTGGATATCTTAAACTTATACAATTGTCAACTATACCTCCAGAAAGCTTCAAATAAACAAATAAATATCATCTGGCTATTTTGAAATTTTACACACCTTGATATTTGTGTTTAAGCACAAGCCCAGGCTGGGAGTGTAGTTCACGGTAGAGCACTTGCCTAGCATGCATGAGGCCCTGGATTTGATCCCAAACACAGCAAAAAAAGAAAGAAAGAAAAAAGATAATAACAAAGAAAATAAGGTACAAAGCCAGACATGGTGACACGTGCCTTGCCTGTAATCCTGAAATAGGGACTAACCCAAGGGGATAAGTAAACTCTTGGCCCTTAACCTGTTACACATTAAAAACATGGTAAGTTTTGTTCTATTTCATCTTTGTACTTTTTCAACAGTTTTGTCATAAAACCCTGGTTACCAAAGGCCAGAGCAATGCATTGTTAGCTGATACAAGCTGCCACACAGATAATACCTCTAATAGATGAATTCTTATAACAGATGCCTATGTCTTCTAATAGGGGCTTAAAAGTTGCTTTGGCTGAGGAGCATTGACTCCTTACTTGGGCCCAGGAATTAACTAAAGGCAGAAAACGGATTATTGCAGAGCTATTTTCCATAGAAATGGAAGGAATAAATTGACAGTGGGGAAAATGTAACTAGGACCACAAAAGAAAAAAAAAAAACTTTTTGTATAGCCAGCATGCGTGCTGGCCAGTTTACTGGACTTGGACATGTGCATTAACTTAACATTCTCTCCCTCTTTGTTTACAAGCTGGAGAATCCAAGATTAAGTTCTTTGCTCTTCAATTAGACCAGGCAGCTCTCTCCCTCTGATCTCTTACTGACCACCCGAGCAGTAAACCTGCCAGCCAAGACGTACAGCTTCAGAGAAGTGGTACCAGACGTCTGAGAATCAAGGCCAGCGGCCATCTGGACACACAATCGAGCTGAACCCCCGAACACTCTATTCAAAGATGGGCATTTTCTCATTTCTCTCAGAAGTGGGAGGACAGAGCTTTGAGAGGTTAACTCTCTCTGTTCTCTGCTTCATCTGACAAATAACAAACTTCATTTCCTTTTCCTCAAAACCCTGCTCTCATTATTGGTAAATGATAAACTGGCACTGAGACCAGGGACCAGTTTTTTGGTAATGGTATCTTTGCAAAAACTTTAAAAGATTATTTGTTGAAAACACAGACTTTTTCGAGATCTAATAGATATCTGATTGCATTGTTCTTACATAATAATCTAGATTTTCTACTTACCAGCAATCACAACATATTTGGACAGCCAACCAAATCTGGGACTCTTAAAACATAAGTGGTTTAACACTGTATTTCAGATTAAACATAATTCTCTCTCTCTCTCTCCTCTCTCTCTCTCTCTCTCTCCCTCTCTCTCTCTGTCTCTGCTTTCTTTTTAATTGCAAATATCTGCAAATTGTTCACATCTTACCCTGGGACCAAACAAACCCCTCCCCACTCACTGATTATTGGTGATGGAGAACAGCTCAGGATTTACCCCTCCAGCAGGTTACTGCAACCTAACACTTTTGTAACTGAAAGTCCTCTCTCTGCTTCCATCTCACACCTGGCCCTTCATGGCTCTTTGCAATTTTTTCCCTAACCTTTAATAAACTTTTATCATCACCCTCATTATGTCTACCTGCCTGGATGCATCCATGTAGGATATAAGAATCTGGATTTTCAGCTGGGTGCCAGTGGCTCTCATCTGCAATCCTGGCTACTCAGGAGGCAGAGATCAGGAGGATCACTGTTGACAGCCAGCCTGGGCAAACAGTTCACAAGACACTTATCTCGAAAATACCCATCACAAAAAGAACTGGTGGTGGCTCAAGTTGTACTTCAAGCCTCGGTACCACAAAATAAATAAATAAATAAATAAATAAATAAGAAGACATTTATTTATACAAAATAACAATATCACCTTTAACACAGCAGTTCCTGGACTGAACTGACCATCTGTTAGCCAACCGAATGTAAGGCCAAGGTAGTTGCACACAAGAAGGCAAATATCTTTTGAAAACATTCCCATGATGAACAAACTATTACCAAGATTTCACCCCCTGCCAGGAAAACTCAATAAAAGCTTGCTGTTCTCTTTTGTTCAGCAACCAGCAGCCTGATTCTCCCTTGATCACTGCTGTCTCCCTTTGACTCCAATTGAAGTCAGACAGCTCAATAAAGATTTGCCTGCCTTGTTCATAATATGTGTCTTGGTCTCATTTCCACTGTTTCCATGCCACACAATCCCACTAAAAAGTATCAGTATCAGCTATTAGAAAGGATCCCTTGAGCCCAGGGCTAGTCTGGGCCATTTGGTGGTACTCCATCTTTTTGTTGTTGTTGTTTGGTTTTGGTGGGACTGGGATTTGAACTCAGGGCTTTGTTCTTACAAAAGAACAGCTTGCCAAGCATGCACTTTACAACTTCCAGTCCATTTTGCCCAGATTATTTTCAAAAATACTTCTCTCCAACTCTTTACCCATCTGGCCTTAACTGTGATCCTCCCAAAATCAGCATCCCAAGTAGTTAGGATTACAAGCATGAGCCACTGATGCCCAGATGGTACAACACTTTTAAAAGGAAAACAAAATAAAGTACAATTGTAAGAAGACAGGAAAATCTTCAAATTTCTTAAGTACATAGATGCTTAGATACACAGTAATTCGTGAACACCAAGAAATATCAGATTTAACTTTACCAATGTTTACAGGTGAATAGTCAAGTCCATAGAGGATTAATCTTGCCCAAGGTCACACAGCTCCTATATATTTTGACATATGTGCACCAGCTTAGTATGCAAATAGAATCTGAATTGGTTCCCACTCTTGGCTCAATTTTAACAGGTAATGCAGAAGAAAGGATTTGCCTATCAGATCTACAGAGAATGTAAACAAGGTGTCTTCAGTTTCTTAAATTTACAATGGCTTCTATTCTTAAAAATGGTGGTGCTTGGTGTGAGGAAGATTCATTGTGAAGCTAATCAAGTACTATCCAATAACTATTGATTTTTGTCCAAAGCTGCAGATTACTCAGCTCACAGCATGCCTTAACTAGTCAGAGTGTCCCAGTGTAGGCAGAGAGAGGAATGAGAATGACAAGGGGACCTGGACAGAGTAAGGAACAGATCAAGTGAAGAAGGAAGAAACAGGTGTGTGAAGGATGTCTATACTCCCCACCTCCCCCTTCATCTTCCTCAGGGTCCTAGTTACCTCTCTATTTCTTAGGCTATAAATGAGTGGATTGAGAATAGGAGTGACGATAGTATAGAAGATGGAGATGGCCCTGTTGCCTGCTGGTGTCCTAGTTGAAGACCGCTGCATGTAGATAAATATGGCTCCCCCATAGTAGAGACCCACCACAGTCAGGTGGGAGGAACAAGTGGTCAGAGCCTTCTGTTTCCCCTCAGTGGAGTGCATCCTGATGACAGCTGTGAGGACCTTGGCATAGGAAGTCACAATGACCCCAAGGGGCAGCAGCAGCATGACCACACAGCATGCATAGATGAGGTCCTCAAAGAGGGAGGTGTCAGCACAGGAGAGGCGCAACAGGGCAGGGACCTCACAGAAGAAGTGGTCCAACTCTACAGAGGCACAGTAGGGGAAGCTGAAGACCATAGTCACATCAATCACACTGTCAGCCATCCCACCCCCCCAGGATGCCAAGACCAGAAGAAAGCAGGTCTTCCAGTTCATGAGCACAGGGTACCTCAGAGGGTAGCAAACTGCCATGTACCGGTCATAGGCCATAACTGCCAAGAGAAAACACTCTGCTCCTGCTACCATGACCACTAGAAAGATCTGGGCTGCACAGCCTCCCCAGGAGATGAACTTATGGCCTGAGAGAAAGTTGGCTGCCATCTTAGGCACCACTGTGCACATCAGGGTCAAGTCCATGATGGAGAGCTGGCTGAGGAAGAAGTACATCGGGGTGTGCAGGCGCCTGTCAGCATGGATGAGCAGGAGGAAGAGGATGTTGCCAGCCAGGGTGGCCACAGAAGCCAGAAGGACCAGGATAAACAGAAATAAATCAGATGGTGAATAGCTGAACAGGCCTGTAAGGATGAAGTTTGACAGGAAGGTGTGATTCCAGAGCTCCATGGCCATGACCCTGAGAACAAACAAACAAACAAGCTATTCACCTGGTATCCCCACAGCATGCATGATGAAATAAACCTTTATCTTCCAAAACACAGAGACAAGACCTTTAACACTAGCCTAACCTTCTTCTGGCAGTGAAAATCCTCTTTCTCTCACCTGGCCTCAGGAGTTACCATGCAAGAATTGATACTTAACTTCTATTGAGAGATGAGAAAATGGCAGAGAGAATAGAGGCAAGGAGACCACAGAGTAAGGAGACTGACTAAATGGCAGGTGGATAGACATGGATTTAGGAAAGTGAAGTACTGGAGAATATGAGAGACAAAAAGAGAAGGGAGAGGGGTGGCAGGTTTAAAAGCTAATCCAAATAAAAAAGACAAGAGTGAGGCTGCTCCCTGCCTTAGCTTAGAGCATTTACTTTAGAAAACTTATAAATTCTCTCTCTAAACTGTATGTAAATCCTTTTAAATCTCTTAAAAGCTTAATAATTTCTTGCCAGCTTTCTAACCTAGGACTGTCTATCTCAGACACCTAAGAGCCAGAACTCCTTGAAGTTGCAGTCATCAAAAAATATGTGGTCTGGTTAAATGTATCTCAGTGATAAATCCTTCTTATCCAGCATCTGTAAGACCTTAAGTTTGAGCCTGAGCACCACATAAAGAGAGAGGAAGCACCAGGGAAAGAGGGAGGCAGGGAGAGAAAAAGAGAAGAACAGAAGAATGAAGAAAGACATACAAGGGAAAAGAGGAGCAAGGAAGGAAGCAGAAAGAAGAAAGAAAGAGGAAGACAGGAGGAGGAGCGAGGGGAACAAGGGGAGAAGAAGGAAGAAGCACCTATCTTAACATTCACCCTATTCTGCTATTTCAACTTTGGA